GTAATAAAAAAACAAGCAAAATCCGTGCATGCCGTTCGGATTCTGCATTCCCCTCTCGGACAAACACGGCATTCCGCAGTTGAGGGTTTGATTGCCGCTTCCTGAAGGCCCTCGCTGGTATGTTGTTTAAGGGGGTAGGATTGTTGGGAGTCCGGAGAGATGATTATTGTGCAGTCTTTGAGCCATACTTGACGTCAGATAAGCGTCTAGTGAGCGAGTGGTGCCCAGAGTCAGGACTAAACACGGGGAGGCTGCTTTTCAGATTCGTGCAGTGATAATAAGATAAGATAAGATAAACCTTTATTAGTCTCACAGTGGAGAAATGTCAGTGTCATCGTTGCACATTACAGCAGAGAAAGGAAATAAGAGCACTCAGATTGCACACATCAAAGTCTATTATTTAAGATAATGGACAATAAATTTAAGATAAAATAAAATAAAATAAAATAAGAAAATCTGGGCTACAATTGCACTTGGTTCGGAGTATTTACAGATGTCTATATTATACATTAGCAGCGGAGAATATGAGAATATGAGCAGAATAAACATCAGAAATAATATCAACAGGTAAAGTGACTTGAATGGGAGAATTATCAGATGGATATGAATAATACAGTAAGATATCAACAGGTAATCTGGAACAATCTTCTTGAAAATGTGAGACAGGTCTCATCTCTGACATTGTTTGAATCCAGGGTTAAAACAATTTTGTTCAGCTGCAAATACAACTTTTAGCTTTCTTGACTGCGAGACCTTTTTGATGATTTCACTGATTCTCAAGACATGGCTATGTGAAATATGAAACCAGATTCTGAAAAACTGGATTGTCTTCTTTCACCAGACGATGGTGGTAAGTTACTACAGTAGCCACAGCTGCCCTGCGACCGCGGCGGCTACTGATCTGTGTCATCGGCTCCTCTCGGACAAACGCTGCATTCCCCAGGCGAGGGTTTGATTGCCGCCGCTTCCCGAAGGCCCTCGCTGGTATGTCGTTTAAGGGGGAAGAAGCCGGGATTGTTGGGAGTCCGTGGAGTATTAGCATGCTAGCAGCGCGGGGCACGTTTCATCTTTTGCACTCTGGGGAGCAGCTAGCACAGTCCCAGCCTGCACCAAATGCTATAAACAGAAAAAGTACAGATGGCTATAAAATAGTCGGGCCGCTGGGGGAAAGAAGGCAGCAGCAAAGAGAAATGTTTCAGTCAGCATAACTGCCACTACTTTTTCCAAAACGGTGAAAGTGGTACGGAAAGGAGCTGCGTTACGACTGCGTTTGGAGGCAGTGGGGCTAATGTGCG